GAAACTGATAAGGTGTGGCCTTAAATGTGGTCAGATTAGTCTTTCAGAGTGGTTCAAGTTGATTTTCACACAATGACACATGGCAGTTGTTTTTCACAATAGGTCAGAATGTTCTAAATTGACCAGAGTTGTCTTGGTCTGACATGTCATGAATAATAGCTTTTAAAAAGTTTAATGTTTATTTATTTTATTATTTTTTTTTATTGTATTTCAACTATTTGGGAGCTTTGCAGATATATAGTCCAAGTTGTCCTGATTATGTGGTTAATTTGAAAGGCTAACTTGAGCTTGTGTTTTGTAGCCTGTTTGCTATATATCTACTTTAAATATAAATTTAACATGTTTAAATAGAATTGAATTAAAAAGAAATTAAGTTACAGAATGGAAACTAAAAGTTTTGCAATCTTTCGATTTATAAAGGGGCATAACTCAATAATGGTTAAAGTGATACTACCCAAATTCAACTTGATCTGTGTTTTATCAGTGGAAGTCAAAATTAAACATTGCATTGTATATAGCATTGATTGTAGTTGATTCAACTATAATTATGGACAAATGAAGATAAGTCCAATTTCAAAAATAACTTGATATTTAGAAGAAAATAAAAATTTTGCAATTTTTATACGACCGCAAAAAAATTTTGTGGTTGTATATTGGTATGACGTTGGTGTCGTCATCCGAAATAACATTTGGTTGAGGCAAACTCAAGTTAGAGAATGAAAACCAACGTACGTACAGATGGAAAAGGGTAAAACTTAATGCCCCCACCGCTACGGCGGGGGCATAAAAATGGACTTACCTAGGGTGAGCATGTTTTTAGGACAAATGGACCCATTACCATGTTGACTGATTACTTTTACAGATTAAGCTTTACAAAGAAATGCCAGTAAATAAAAATTCAACTATTAAAACTAGTAAAATAAATAATCTTACTAGCAGATACATATATTGGCTGTTTTTCTTTTCATCTATAGAATACAGTCTCGAAAAATCATTTGTATGACCAAACCAACGATAGAACTGTTTACAGTTACCATACCAATATATTGGAAAGCTACATACTTTTTCTTTGGCTTTGCTTAGAGAATCAAAAATGCTTACATAGATTTTTATTACAACTATTAACAATGATTATATGGCTTCAATCATGTCCAATATATCCATGTACCTGTGTACATGTGTCTCGTAAAAAATTGCAACAAAAGATCTAAAAAAAGGGTTAAAATACAGGCTGTTGTCTGCTCTATGGTCGAGTCGTTGTCTCTTTGACACATTCCCCATTTCCATTCTCAATTTTATTAAACATTGATTTAATTTCATTTGCAGGCAATTGTTCTTTGCAAGTTCATAGAAAAGTATAAAGAAGAATTCAAAAACAAAGAAGTTATAGAGCTTGGAGCAGGATCAGGAATTGTTGGCATTGTAGCAGCATTAATTGGTAAGAGTTCATACATTGAACATGTGAACTGCGTCGGATAGAAATCACCCTTATGCAAGTGCACATATACATGTACATGTACATGTACACGTATAACACTTTGATTGATTTTGGAACATTCAAATACTAAATAAAAGTAAATTTTGGTTTGTTTTGTAGGGTTTTTATAACATCTCAAATTTCAAACAGTTACAGACTTTCTGTAGAGATGTTTTCAAACCAAAATAGGTTAACAGATGTATTGATATTTATTTGCATAAGGTGCAGCTCATGTGTCATAGGAGGAGGTGTTGTCAGTCAGGGGTGCTACTTTAACAAGTGATTTCATCATCACTTATTTCAGTGATTTGAAAAATTCAGTTATCACCTATTTAAGTGATTCTAGTGTTTTCTTTGATCTTCAAATGCTAATTTCATTGATTTTCCATATTTTCACAATCTTTTCTATAATTTTCCTACATAAATCAATTATCACTTTTTCTTTGTATATTAATTAAACCAGTGCGCTTGGGCAGTAAGTTAGTGCGCTAAAGCTTTTAAAAGTACCCTTGGGAATTTTTCTGTAATCAAAAATTCATTAACTACTCTTACTACCAGACAAAGATCAACAATATTAGGTAACCAGATTGGTTTTCTTTAGAGTTAGAATGATCTACTTCAAGGTTATGACCTGATCTACAAACTATTCCAGTTTTTGCATATTTTAAAAAACTGTAAAAGTGTCAGGCTTATCAAGCAAAAGACAATTTCTGCATATACATAGTTGTTTTTTCAATGGAATTGTTGTCTTTTTACCAATAAAAAAATCAAGCTTGTGGGAAAAATATCAAGAAAATGTTATAAACACTTTTTAAAGTGATTAAATTTTAACTTCTAAAATTACTTGTTTCAGTGATTTTAAAAAGTCTGTGTGAAAATTTTTAATATTTCACAGCCAAAATCACTTGAGGGAGTGATTCTGAAATCACTTGTTTAAGTAGTATCCCTGACTGGTTGTAGCATCAATTTTTGGTAACAAAGGTTAAAGTCGGATCATATCTTGTATTAAGGTGTTTAGATATCACTAATAGACACCAGTTCCAGAGTTCTCAAAAAAATGGTGGTCCAAAGGTTTAACTTTTGACCACCAACATAATCAAAGGACCTATGCAATTTTGGTATTTTGCAATAGAAATCATAAGTGAGGACCAGCAGATTTTCTTCAAAACCACCTGAGAAAAAAAGATTTCGAGAACCTTGGAGTTCATGATATGTGGTTCAATGCTGAAGCATTAATGATAATTGGCAGCATCCACTGGTCAGGAATCAGAGCTTAGGTGTTGTCATGGTTGTAGAAGCAAGGCTCTCTGGCAGGATCAGACATGTAAGATGTCTTGAAGTATTTTAGCTGCAGTAACAGCCTTCACAATAAACATGATAAACCACAAGCTCAAAATTTCATGTGTGTAAAAATACAAGGCCATTAAGAATTTTACTAATTACAGGCCATTATTTTTAGTTTTGTAAGTGGCTTACATGTTCAATCCAGAATCATAGCAAGGAATAAATTGAACATTGTGTCCATCTGTTCATTTATCTGCCTGTCTGTACATTGTCAATAAAAGTTTCACAGACTCTTCAGCATGTTTTAAAACAATAAATAGTAGCTAATGACAATTGAACATCACCTATTTACATGATTTATATGTTTATCCAATAAAAATAGGTGGTATTTCATATGCATTAGTACATGATGTATGTAATTTTCCATATATCTATACTACAAAAGGGAAACCTTTAAGATCTTGTATAGATTTGCATTTCTTCCCAAAACAAACACCTTATTTCAATGGCATTTCCGTACAACCATATGTTCTGACATAAGGTCATTATGCATTTATATTCATTGATATTTTGTCATCAAAATACATTTGGTCATGTTGGTTGTTTCATGCAGCACAAAAGCATTGATTTTGCCATATCTGCAAAAAGGGGCGCACGATTTTGTGTTTATAAAATTTTTAATTTTTACTCAAAACTCAGGTTCCTTACTGACCTTAGGGCCTTCCAGAAATAAATATATGGGGGGGGGGGGGGGGGGGTCGGAACACACTTTTTATTTAACCTCATCATGCATAATATTTCAATTGATTATTTCATATTATTATTAAGGCTATCTGTCTAAAAGAACAACCACCCATCAAATTTTAATCAAAGTGCATTCAGACACCCCCCTTTCCCCCATTCAATTAATTCTTGAAAAGCCCTTAGCATGCTTAAACTGTTATGTAAGCTACTTTACATGTCTTTTCAGACCCACCTCACCTTTATTACTTTCTTCATGTCCTTGTCTAGAGCTATTTTCTGGATGAGTCTGAACAGTCTGAAGTCTGTACTTTTAAAGTTTTGTCAGCTTTAGGGAACCAATACTTAACAAAGAAGTTGTTCACTAATAACAATATAACTAATACAAAGATGATTTAATTTCAGGAGCTAATGTTGTGATCACAGACAGGGAGCAAGTCTATTCCTACCTAAAACGTGTTGTAAAGGAAAATCTTAAAGACAAAGAAAATGTCAAATATTCAGTTAAAATCTTAGACTGGACAAGAGACCTTCATAAATTTCCTCAAAAGTACGATATCATTCTAGGAGCTGATGTCATCTATGTGGAGGAGGTGTTTGATGCATTGTTAGAAACACTACTACATCTCAGTCATGATGAGACAAAAATATACTTGTCGTGTAAAATACGATACGATAGAGACACAAGATTTTTAGATATGGTGCAGAAACACTTTACGTTACAAGAAGTTTTGCATGACAGGGAGAAAGATATTAAAATTTTTCTATGTAAAAAAATAAAATATTGAGCTAAATGTCCTGAATGTGTTATAAATATGTATGTCATGTGTGTACGGGATAGTTTGTAATACGTCAACGTCATATACATGTAGAAATTTACATCTTGCTATAAACAGACTTCTGCTCATCTTTGCTCAGCTTGATGGTCATGAAATATTACTGGTTTATTTTCGATGAATATTTGTGTTCTTATAATTAGATAAAAGTAAAATGCTCTATAGAAAATGCATAATAGTTATGATATACTGGTAAAATGGACACATAACATGCAAAAGGCTTGCACATTATTTATCTATAAATTACCCTAGAGTGTATACTGTAAGATGGTATCCGCAACAATCACCACATTTGTATTTCTGAATAATAGATTATTAAGGGGTATACATAAATAAAAAAACCCAAACAACATGAAAAACCAAAAGACAATCTAAAGTTTGAATGTTTGCCTAGATGATCTTCCAATTGGTGCTTTTTCCCAGACGTCACAAAGCAATTATCTTCAAGTCACGATTTCCCCGAACAACCCCAGGTCAACTGGGACAGTTCATTCATAAAATTGAAATTGGAATCTCTTCTATTCTGTGTAACTAAGGATCTATATATGTAAGAAGTAGGTTCAAGCTCGTCAATTTTTATAGTTCAAAAAGTCATAAAAGTCCATCTGAATAATCAAAAAGGCAAACTAAAAATGGAAAAATAATAAGATTATAATTCATACCTTTGATGCCAAGATCTCTCTTCCTAGGTTATTTGGATGTTTTATCTGTTCAGTCTAGCCTGGTACTCTCTTTTGTTATTCAAATGTGGAAAGGTTGCTATTGATGCTTAAATCCATGGTAATCTTTTTCCAATTTTGTGTCAATATAAGATATGGATCTATAATAAAAATCTCTCAAAACGCTTTCTGTGTTCTGTCATAATATGGTGTCATCCTTTTTTTTTTAGTTCAAATATGTCACTTTAGTTATTCCAATGTACAATTTAATATGGTCATTTTTCTTCAACATTCAACATGCATGACATGTTACCATGGTTACTGTTTATATTTGAATATCAGGATATATACACTGTAAATGTGTGGCAATAAACTGAAATTATTTATTCATGTCACTTATTCCTTTTATTGGTTCTGAAAACAGTTTGATGCATTTTGCAGCTTTTTACCATTGCCATATTTAACATGTCTAATAATCATTTATTTGTATTCATAAATGCACACTGCATTGAACCAACTTTCTTCGCTTAATGTCACTTATTTTTTAGCTACATTTGCATGTACCACTGTTTATGCAATCTAGAGAATATATACGAGAAACATGATATTATTTTCCAACTGAAGCACAAAGAACATATAGACCTTGAATATAGATGAAGTGGAAAAGCACAATATTAATAAAACTTTCGCATTTCACTTACAGTGTAGCTTCTAATGTGAATATTTGGAAGATATACAGAAAAAACTAGACTTCCCTGCAAAAAGATGATTTTTACATTTCCAAAAAAAAATTAGGATTAAATCCTCTGGTCGTGGCCGACATAGCAAGCATATATTACCTATGCAGACAGCACTAGACATGACTAAGCATTACTTATCAACGTCACAACATTCAACAGATTCATTAATAGTGCTGATCAATTCCTCAATCTGCTTTACATGTTGTCCATTAACTTCCTTATCAAAATTTGCAAACTCCTCATTTTTCAACATATCTTCTAAAATATATTTAACTCTATAAATATCAAACAGAATACAGTCTGTGTTCCACAAATGAGGCGTTGTTAGTAATTTGGCAACTGTTTGAGTTATGTCCCCTTTGGTTGACAACCTGGTATCCATATGACTGGTTTCAAGTTCATTTTCCACTACATCAGTTGATTTAGTCTGCTGTTTCAATATTTCAATCCTTGGGAGAACAATTGTTCTCATGAAATCAAAGAATTCTGGAAAGTTTATTCCTTTGTCAGCTTTCAACATTATCTGTAAAATAAATATTTCATATTTAAATAGATACATCTCTCAGCCATCCTTAGTAATGAGATATGGTAAAATGTGTTTTTCTGGATACTTTGATGATATATGTGGTAACTTAACTGGCATTATTTCATGATAAGCAAAAAACTAAATTTGTTTTTGTTTGATATTAACACACAGTCATATTAATTTTTGTCCCCTGTGCATCTGACCACAGGGATATGGTTATAGTCTAAATCTGTCCTACCAAAACGCATCAATGCTCCAAGGCCATTTGCCATAAAGTTTTCATTCTTGGATAATATGTTTTCATATTCTTTGGTCAACAATGGTCGAGAGAGTTACTATATTGTCAGTTTGATTTATAATTTTTTTTTTTGATTTATAGGAAAAATAGATTTTGAAGATATAATATCGAAAGAACAAAATTATGGTGTGTGATTTAAAGCTTATTCATAAAATAAAACATAATAGAGACATCAATATTAATCATACAAATATTTACATATTGAACCTATCAGACATACTTATAATGAATTGTAATGGGTTAAAATATGTTGCATTAGAGTTTTTCAGTTGAGTTTTTTCTGGGTAAACTGTCTTCATGCTTAACCACAGACCCAGCAGCCCAGGCTTGTAAAATTGCTTTCGGGCCTGTAAAAATCATTTCTACAGGCCAACAGAATCTAACTGGTTAAAGGGAGATAATCTTATTTGAATCCTGTTCTATTGTCCTTACAAACATGACAAATGCAGATGGACAATATTTGTTCATTGTAGGAAAATACAAAATATATTTATATGAGCTTTGGAAAGAGAGAAAAGTGAGGCTCACTGAGCCTTTCTCCTGTTTTATAGCAAATACAAATACATTTTGTATTTTCCTACAATGTGCAAATATTGTTTTTATCCTGCACTTTAACATTTATACTTCTACTACCGAACTGTAAGACTTATTTTTTTTAATTCAAAATCAACATGACTTAAAAGAGGACCGCAAATTGAACTATGACGTAAACAGTAATTTGAATATAACCAGTCCCTCACAACAGAAGGGGAATACCAGGAGACTATAAATGTATATATATATGTAAGACTTGGATAGACGTCTGGTCAAGAATCTATGTCTGTTCCTTAAATAGACTTCCAAATCTGATGTCATAATACAATAAGATTCCAAATCAACAGCCAATTCTATGCCCCTCTAATCGCCTTTTTTTTTGTTGTTCTTAAATAAGTCCAATTTTTATACGACCGCCAAAAAATTATGGTTGTATATTGGTATGACGTTGGTGTCGTCGACGTCGTCATCTGGCGTCTTCGTCGTCCGGCGTCGTCGTCCGAAGATACATTGGTTTTCGCACTCTAACTTTAGTTTAAGTGAATTGATCTCTATGAAATTTTACCATAAGGTTCAATACCACAAAAGGAAGGTTGGGATTGATTTTGGGGGTAATGGTACCAACAGTTAAGGAATAAGGGGCCAAAAAGGGGCCAAAAATAAGCATTGTTTTAACTTCCAGACATAACTTGTGTGTTAGTGTATGGATCTCTCTGACATTGTACCACAAGGTTCCATATCACAAAGGGAATGATGGGATTGATTTTGGTGGTAATTGCCTCAAAATTTTAGGAATTAGGGGCCAAAAAAGGGGCAAAAAACAAGCATTTTTCTAGTTTCATGACAATAACTTGTGTGTAAGTGTATGGATCTTTCTGAAATTGTACTACAAGGTTCCATATCACAAAGGGAAAACTGGAATTGAGTTTGGGGGTAATTGCCCAAAACGTTTAGGAATAAGGGGCCAAAAAGGGGCCAAAAATAAGCATTTTTCTAGTTTCCAGACAATAACTTGTGTTCAAGAGTATGGATCTCTCTGAAATTGTACTGCAAGGTACCATACCACAAAGGGAAGGCTGTCATTGATTTTGGGGAGAATTGCCTCAAAATTTTAGGAATTAGGGGCCAAAAAGGGGCAAAAAACAAGCATTTTCTAGTTTTAGGACAGTAACTTGTGTGTTAGTGTATGGATCTTTATGAAATTGTACTACATGGTTCCATATCACAAAGGGAAAGCTGGGTTTGAGTTTGGGGGTAATTGCCCTAAACGTTTAGGAATTTGGGGCCAAAAAGGGGCAAAAAAACAAGCATTTTTCTAGTTTCCAGACAATAACTTGTGTTCAAGTGTATGGATCTCTCTGAAATTGTACTGCAAGGTACCATACCACAAAGGGAAGGCTGGGATTGAGTTTGGGGGTAATGAATCATAAGGGGGTTCAAAAAATTTGGGGGGAGGGATTTTTTTTCCCTTTTTTCCTTTTTTTTTCATTAAAATTTTCCATTTTAAATTGGTTATTTCTGATTTATATATAAAAGCAAATAATAATGATATGGTTCGAATAGGTAAATTAAAAATTTATAAGTTCTTAGACCACATTCATTCTGTGTCAGAAACCTATGCTGTGTCAAATATTTAATCACAATCCAAAGTCAGTGTGTATCAAGCTTGAATGTTGTGTCCATACTTGCCCCAACTGTTCAGGGTTCGACCTCTGCGGTCGTATCAAGCTGCGCCCAGCGGAGCATTTTATTGGCTTCTCTTATATTGACGTCTTTTTTACGGACTTGCCGCAATGACATCACAACATTGCTAAATGGTGGGTTGAACCAAAAACTTAAAAAGTAACTCATGACTTTTTTGTTGTTGTTTAATATACGATTTTATAATAATACTTTTTAACATTTAGCTGTATTTTGTCTATTATTTTTTGAGATTGTATATTGCCCTCTAGATGTCTTTCAATTATCTTTGTCGTTGGGTTGTTGTCTCATTGACGTTTATCTACATGTCGTTTATTTTGATGAATATGAAAGGAATATGACAGTGTAGATGGAGAGGATGAACTTCTTTCACCAAAATATTATTATCCATGAACATGTAATATGATGTCGGTGGTTATTTTATTTTCATATTGTCATTTTCTAATGTTTGCCCTTTTATTTTGATAAAGATATAAGAAAATAATTGGTTTCTTTAGGCAGGCTTATAATTACTCACAGACAAAACGACAGATAATATAAACAAAGATCAAACTAAAAATAAATGATTAAATACTGGACATCGATGAATGACAATCTCATCGATTGGACGTCATTTTTGGTAATACATGTACATGAACGTCAATTAGAGGGTAAAAATATTGGACACTGATTTGAGAAAGTGACGTCACATTGGACATCTATTTTAGGAACAGACTTCAATTAGAGACTAGACATCCATTTCAGTCTAACATATAATACTATACTTTATCACTTCATATTGTCTGTCAACCTGTAATGGTATAGTAGAAATGTTGATTGCAGGATAAATGTACAGGTACAAATATGTAAGAAATATGTAAGAAATGTATGACTTGTGTCAAAAGTCCAGACGTCTCTAATATGTATTTACTTCTACTGATTCAGTCAGAACCCTTGGTATTACCTGACAGTGCTGGTACCAGTCCCCATCTACCATTTTTGCCTCCTTCACATCCTGTATTTCTTGTTCTACTTCCATAAGTCCCAGTTTTAGGTAGTTCCAACTTATATCAACATTACAACCATTTAACCAGTTATGATTTATAGATATTGTATCCTCCTGGAAATAAACACAATCCATTCCTTTGCCCTTTAGAAAATTTATGTAGGTTAATGAACAGTTTAAACTATTTCCTATTTCAACAGCATCCTCTAAATTATAAATGCTAATGTGGATGCATTTATTTTGGTGGATACCAATTTTCTTGGATTGAGGAAAAATTATATTTTTGTGGATATTTGATTTCATCGATTTTCCAAAGTCTGCATTCAAATGCTATAGAAAATTTGTACGCCATTGAACATTTAATTTTCTGGTTCACTTTTACCCATGAAATCCACAAAAACTGATATCCCAGGAATAATAATGAATCGACGGTACTTTTATTCAGATTTTTGTGTAGTGCTTTTGGAGAAACTTTTTTTTCCAGAGTTATTTGATTTTCATTGACTTTTGATTTGTTTGCTCTCTGAATCTATCTAATAGTATTCCTTATATTTTAGTTCATTACACAAAAGTAACATGATAATTTCAGAAACATTTGCAGTGTCTGAATAAATAATAAAATGCTTCGCTGAGCACAGCTGGATACGACTGCAGAGGTCCAACCCTGAACAGTTTGGGCAAAAATGGACACAATATTCGTGCTTGATACAGGTCTGAATTTGGATTGTAATTAAATATTTGACACATAATAGGTTTCTGACACCGAATAACTGTAGTCAAAGAACTTAGAATTGGTTATATGATTTGAATTTATATTTCTTTTTTACCCCCCCTAGATTTTTTATCACCTCCTCCCCTCCCCCCTTTTCCAAAAAAAAAATCTTTCCCTCAAGATATGGTCATAATCTCAATTCAAATTTCCAATGGAGTTTGCAACCATAATTACCAATTTAAATACATCATAAAAGTTTTAAAATAGAAAATGACATACATTATCATTGCTAAAATTAATATTCCTTTAATAGTAACTTCTAAGAATAAATTGACAGCTAATCACCTCAAGACAATTCAAACTCTCTTTATACATAATTCAAAAGCAGTGTAAGGGAGGTAATCCAAACATACACAACATTGTACTTTAAATGTGTTTGGATTACCTCCCTTACACTGCTTTTAAATTGTCCATTAACCAGGAAACCTTTGCCTTCCCCCTTTTTTGCCCCTAATTCCTAAACGGTTTGAGCCATAACCCCCAAAGTCAATCCTAACCATCCCTTTGTGGTATGGAAACTTGTGGTATAATATCAGAGAGATTCATACACCGTTCCGCAAGTTATTGTCTGGAAACTAGAAAAATGCTTATTTGGGCCCTTTTTTGGCCCCCTTATTCAGAAACTGTTAGGACCATAACCCCCAAAATCGATCCCAACCTTCCTTTTGTGGTTATAAACCTTGTGTTTAAATTTCATAGATTTCTATTTACTTATACTAAAGTTATTGTCCGGAAACCAAATGTCTTCGGACGACGACGACGTGATACCAATATACGACCACAAAATTTTTTTGCGGTCGTATAAAAACGTTGTCTGCATTCACATCAACTGAAGGGTGATGTGAGTCATGTGACCAATGTCACCTTATGGTAGGCTTTAATCAAGGTGAGAAGGTCCAAATAATTGTGATCATATTTGTTTACGTGGAAATCTATTTAAATCGTTTCATTTGTTTAATTTGCCTGTGTGAAAAACTAGGGGGATGCATGGATACATGTCAACTGATCACCTTTTCAACCTCCAAATTGAAACAGAAACTACTGTGGATTCATCTATTTCTGTGGGTACCAATGTTCATGGATTGAGTAAAATTTGTATGTTAATAGATATTAAAACTTGTGGCTTTGCTAAAGTTTGCATATAAGTCTACCCAAAAATTATACTTTGTTGAACATTTAAATTAATTGGTATCCCAGGAGTAATAATGAATTCACAGTATCTCAAAACTGGGATTAAAACATTGATCTATTAGTACCAGCTTAGAATTTTCAAAATACACCATACGTTATCACTGGATGCATCAAATATGGATAAAAGAGAAAAGCAATCAAGACCAAGCTTTGATTTCTTTTATTTGTATTTGTTATTATTTATAACTCCAGTGGAAATAAAAATAAACTTACAAGATTGAAAACTTGATGATGCCAGCCACTTGGGACAAAAATAACCTCCCCTGGTAACTGTGTCACTTCTATTCTGTGTTTTAGTTTAGTGAATTTGGGGTATTTCTTAGGATTCTTCAAATCCTCAGAATTAACATCAAAAACAAGTTGTCCGTGAACATCTTTCAAACATTCTTCTTCACCTGAAATTTTAAACACACTATGTTTGTCTGAATTTGAATGAAGGACATTGATAGTGTGCTTGACTAGAAATCATTGATTCACTGTGTGTAATATAAAAATGTGAAAGATAAATATCTAATTTCCTTGCAATTCCACTTTTCTGTACAAAGGGAGATAACTCTTGCTTATTTCATTCATACTAATAAAACTAGCAATTATCACTTTTAATGATATTATTTTATTTCTTTTTTAAACAATACACTTAGGTAGAACAGTATATGAGACCTTCATGATCTAAAAAGTCTAAGATAATAATCTGGAAAATCTAAAGAACTGTACTTAGACAAACTAATGTTTTCTTTACAATACAATAAAAACTTCTGTTTTCAATCTTTTCCCTGTCAGAACAAGATTGCACGTAAAAAGGACAATTGTAAAAGGTATTCTACATCCAAATATGTAATGCAAATATAATTTCTGCTTACTTATATCCTTTTTTTATATATGGTGAACCAACTCCTGAAGTAATGATCATGTGGTATAGTATATAGTGGGTGGATCTAAATAGGTATTCACAGTTGTCACCAAGGTAACAGATAAAACTACATTAAAGACAACAAATTCCTAACATTACTACTAAGTAAATACCTTATCTGGGTCTACATGTCTTGTCAACAAGTGTGGTGTCTTCAGGACAGGTAATAGCATGAAACAAAACATTGTTGGCAAAACATATAGACCATTGTTAATAAAATGCTTCGCTGGGCGCAGCTTGATACGACCGCAGAGGTCGAACCCTGAACAGTTGGGGCAAGTATGGACACAACATTCAAGTTTGATACAGCTCTGAATTTGGATTGTGATTAAATATTTGACACAGCATAGGTTTCTGACACAGAAAGAATGTGGTCTAAGAACTTCAATTTTTTTAATTTACCTACCGGTATTATGGTCCAATGTCCAAAATCAAAATACATGGTTAGATTCAGCATATCAAAGAACCCCATATATTCAATTTTTGTTGAAATCAAACTAAGTTTAATTTTGGACCCTTTGGACCTTAATGTAGACCAATTTAAAAAACGGGACCCAAAAATAAAAATCTAAAAACACGGTTAGATTTGGCATATCAAAGAACCCCAATAATTCAATTTTTGATGAAATCAAACAAAGTTTAATTTTGGACCCTTTTGACCTCAATATGAACCAATTTGATAGTGGGCCCACAAATAAAAAATCTAAATACATGGTAAGATTCAGCATATCAAAGAACCCCATGTATTCAATTTTTGTTGAAATCAAACAAAGATTAATTTTGGACCCCAATTTGGACCAACTTGAAAACTGGGCCAAAAATCTAAAATCTAAATACATGTTTAGATTCAGCATATCAAAGAACCCCATATATTCAATTTTTGTTGAAATCAAACAAAGTTTAATTTTGGACCCCAACTTGGACCAACTTGAAAACTGGGCCCATAATCAAAAATCTAAACACATTTTAAGATTCAGCATATCAAAGAACCCCAAAAATTCAATTTTTGTTAAAATCAAACTAAGTTTAATTTTGGACCCTTTGGACCTTAATGTAGACCAATTTAAAAAACGGGACCCAAAATTAAAAATCTAAATACACGGTTAGATTTGGCATATCAAAGAACCCCAATAATTCAATTTTTGATGAAATCAAACAAATTTTAATTTTGGACCCTTTTGACCTCAATATGAACCAATTTGATAGCGGGCCCACAAATGAAAAATCTAAATACATGGTAAGATTCAGCATATCAAAGAACCCCATATATTCAATTTTTGTTGAAATCAAACAAAGTTTAATTTTGGACCCCAATTTGGACCAACTTGAAAACTGGGCCAAAAATCTAAAATCTAAATACATGTTTAGATTCAGCATATCAAAGAACCCCATATATTCAATTTTTGTTGAAATCAAACAAAGTTTAATTTTGTTGGACCCCAACTTGGACCAACTTGAAAACTGGGCCCATAATCAAAAATCTAAACACATGTTTAGATTCAGCATATCAAAGAACCCCAAGAATTCAATTTTTGTTAAAATCAAACTAAGTTTAATTTTGGACCCTTTGGACCTTAATGTAGACCAATTTAAAAAACGGGACCCAAAATTAAAAATCTAAATACACGGTTAGATTTGGCATATCAAAGAACCCCAATAATTCAATTTTTGATGAAATCAAACAAATTTTAATTTTGGACCCTTTTGACCTCAATATGAACCAATTTGATAGCGGGGTCCACAAATAAAAAATCTAATTACATGGTTAGATTCAGCATATCAAAGAACCCCATATATTCAATTTTTGTTGAAATCAAACAAAGTTTAATTTTGGACCCCAATGTGGACCAACTTGAAAACTGGGCCAGAAATCAAAAATCTAAATACATGTTTAGATTCAGCATATCAAAGAACCCCATATATTCAATTTTTGTTAAAATCAAACAAAGTTTAATTTTGGACCCTTTGGACCTTAATGTAGACCAATTTGAAAACTGGACCCGAAATTAAAAATCTAAATACACGGTTAGATTCGGCATAACAAATAAATAAATGTGGTCAAAGATTTTATAAATCTAATGCACCATACTGGTCTTCCTTTATAAATATGCATTTCTTTAAACATAATTTAAAAGCAGTGTAAGGGAAGTAACCAAAACGTTGTATTTGGATTACCTCCCTTACACTGTTTTAAATTATCTTAATTGTTCATTAACCATTACTTTATACATAATTTAAAAGCAGTGTAAGGGAGATAATTTCAATGATGTATTTGATTTATCTCCCTTACACTGCTTTAAATTATGTTTTGTACTAAAGTTTTTGTCCATTATTCTTAAACGGTTTGAGCAATAACCCCCCAAAGCAAATCCTAACCATCCCTTTGTGGTATGGAAACTTGTAGTATAATTTCAGAGAGATCCATACACCGTTCCACAGTTATTGTCTGGAAACTAGAAAATGCTTATTTTTGGCCCCTTTTTGGCCCCTAATTCCTTAACTGTTGGTACCATAACCCCCAAAATCAATCCCCACCTTCCTTTTGTGGTATTGAACCTTATGGTAAAATTTCATAGAGATCCATTCACTTAAACTATAGTTAGAGTGCGAAAACTAATGCGTCTTCGGACAACGACGCCAACGTCATACCAATATACAACCACAAAAATTTTTTGGCGGTTGTATAAAAATAATTACTTAATGATAATTTAAGGGTGCTGTTGTCTTTTATATCCTTTATTTCAAATGAAATTGCAAAATGTGTTTACATTTGAAACTAAGATGGAACTGGCAAGTGGCCATGGACACTAAATAGTACACCTCATTACAAATAAGATTCTGGTCCTAAAAGAATTGCATTATTCTTAAAAAAATCTACCTGGAGGAAAAAAGATCCACTTCTTCTTTCCGCAGACATTAGCTGACCAACTGAAAGATCTGAACACATCAGCATGGAATGGTGTCCTGTAACAAAAAATCATAAAAATATCATAGGCATAGAAATATACATGAGGAGGAATTCAACTAGACCATGTTTATGTTTCAAATTTTAAGATCAAATATAAGTTTTTGAAATTTTGGTAAAATATAATTTTTGAAATCTATAATAGTGAATACAAAAAACTTGTTAGTGATTGATTTTTTTCTCTATATTTTACCAACTTTTTTTTCTTCAAATTTTTGGGGCCTCGGTGGCCGAGTGGTCTAAGTAGTTACTTCTGTTATCACTAGCCAGTCGACACTGAGGTTGTGAGTTCGAACCCCACTCGTGCGGGTGCACTTGACTCCAATCTTAATTGACTAGGATTGTCAGTTTTCCTATCGAAGGTCGGTGGTTTTCAATAAAATCTGGCCGCCACGAAATAGCCCAAAAGCGGTGCTTAAAAGTGGCGTTAAAACACCAAAAATTAAAAAAAATAAAATCTTCAATTTTTTTTTATCTTTCTCTTGAAAACAACTGTTGAACTTTTTTTTATTTTTATTCTTTTTTATAACATAATTTTAGGTGCTGGATTTTGTTCATTACTGAACACTTTATAGCCAACTATACAGTATGAGTTTTTCTCATTGTTGAAGGCTGTACGGTTGCCTATAATTGCTTACATCCACTTCATTTGATCTTTGGTGGATAGTTGTCACATTGACAATCATACCACATCTCCTTATTTTTATACTGTGTGTGTGGTCTATAGATAATCAATTTCTAGTCCATAAACCTTAGACATGTAATTTTCTCACTAACAATTTATCATTCCATATTTTGATATGTTATTGATTATTTAAAAGTTAGTTTGTCCCTTAATTAAATTGTTTGTCTTTACATATTTTCAATCATAAATTTAATCTCCAAAATATTTTCTTTAACCCTAGCAACTGAGAAATTTTATAGAGTAAACTGATTTTTTTTTTACCAAGAACCTTTTGGTCCCATGTAAACAAATCTGTAATCATCACAAATCTCATTTCTCTGGTCCCAGTATTCATTCATCCAGTCTGAGGTAAAATATCCTGGGGTTTCATAGGCTTTGTAGTCTGGAAACTCTCTGAAAAAAAAAAAATGTCCTAGAAAAATTCAGTTTTAAGAAGAGGACTGATTTTTACAGTTTGTTCATATGGTTTGTTGTTACACCACTGTCCAAGGTTAGGGGAAGGGTTGGGAGCTCAAAAACATGTTTAACCCTGCCACATTCTATATGTGCCTGTCCCATCTCAGGAGCCTGTATTTCAGGGATTGTCAGTTCAAGACTGTGATATCTGTTTTTCATAAGCTGTAATGTTATAAATAAGGCCTTTAGTTTCATTGTTTGAAAATTTTCATATTTTTCATGTTTGGGCCTTTATAGCTGACTTTTCTGTATGGGTTTACAAGGCTTCGTGTTGAAGACCGTACTGTGACCTATAATGGTTTACTTTTATAAATTTTGACTTGGATGGAGAGTTGTCTCATTGGCACTCATACCACATCTTCTTATATCTATTAATTCGTTATTGATAGCCATACAGGGCCATATAATTGCTTATACCCACATCATTTGAAAACTGGTGGATAGTTGTCTTATTGGCAATCTAACCACATCTCCTTATTTTCATAATGACTGTAACATGTTTATATGACAACAGAAATCACAGTCTGTTAAAAATGAAATCAAACTGAAAAGCGAATGAATATGAGGTGAAAGATGTAAGATGCTGGCTATTAAGAAATTTGAATTTCTTGGAAATATCCTTGAAGAAAGAGTGGACGAAGGCCCTAATGCTACGATTTAAAAAACCATTTATCAAAAATTACTATACAATAGCTAAACTGATCAATGTATGAATAAACATATGTAAATGTCTGATACTAATTTAAGTCACTCAGGGGTATTACTTAAACAAGTAATATTTATACACATTCATACAGATGTTAGTAATATTAACATGAAAAGAGTAAGATTTTTTACCTTGCAATTACACTTTTATGAATACTAAAGACAACAATTGAAGAAATACAATTAAACCTTTTATAAGTCTGAATGTGTCATTTTCTAAGGGATATAACTCTATTTCCCAAATTATTTACGAGTACCAATAAATAAATAAAAACACTAGTAGAAGTATAACCCCTGGCTGTACATGCTGTAAGTGAATAAAACACTGTTTTTTTCTAAAAAAAAAAAACCTTAATCAAGTATGCATACTAAAAATTTGTTTGTAAATTTCTTCACTTGTCTTAAAAATCTAGGCAGTTATCACTTTCTAAAATATTCTATGTCATGTATGTCTTGATAACTGATATACTGTTATAAAACAAAACTCTATAGGGAACACAACCAAAATGTTCATGCCTCAAATCTCAAAAATAAGGAGCAGCTTCCAGTTATTTCACCTCAACTTTCTATAAATATATATTTGCCTTTATTTATAAGGTTGTTTAAGGGGACAATTTAAATGATATATCCATTAGATCACCTTAGCTCTTTGGATTATGTGATATAAGTATTTTCAAACATATGTAGCCTGATTACTGGTTAGTTAAAAACTAAATGAAACTGAGTCTTATGGGTTTTCATATGTCTTTACCTGTTGAAATGAAAATCTTTCAGATACAAGCAGTCCATGTCCGAAGGGTAACCCCTTTGTTTATACTTCTCCCAGTAGGACATAAAGTCATGTATTGTCATCTCAGACTTTGGATGTGAACCATATTTCTCCTTTTTACAATTGGCAACAGGTACACATGCATTTCCTGGAAGATATTTATTGTATACCAATGAATAAATATATATATAATGCTTATACATATTCACGGTGTATATTCAGAACGCTTCCTTTCCATTTCAATCATCAGTAACGCTTGCTTTTTTATTCCAGAAGTGTGTACCATCTGATAGGACTACATGTACAGTGTAGGTTGCTACAATCTTTCAAAAAATAATGAATTACCAGTTTTCTTGAATGAAATTGAAGTTGATGGAAGGAAATACCGCTTTTGATATCAAAATGGAAGAATATTTTCACACAACCTTAAAGATAATTTTGAAATTCTCCAATTATGTCACCAGGTCCTCATCTTAAGTATGTTTTGAAACAGTTTAAGACGACTTAAATGCTAAACATGCTAAATAGAGCTTTTTTTTTTGTGTGTGCAACAATTCAATTATAAATAAAGCTTTTGAGCTTAAACCACAGGCACTTGTTTCTATCCATGGGAAAGTGGACTATAATCAATATATAATCATGATAATAGAAGTATAAACAGATAGTTGACCTTCCCATGGATAGAAAAAAGTTCATTATAAAGTCAAACCTGTATTAAGCAGTCACTCATGGGAAGTATCAAAAGTGACCGCTCAAGAGAGGTGACTTTTTAAACCTGTTAAATGAGGTTCTGAAAAAATTCCAATTCCAACATCGCACGTGGCCGGGATCTGGGTAGCCTGGCATCCTGGTCAAACCTCCTCATTGGGAGTAGTGTGCTAGGATCCCAGGCTAGGATCGGGGCAAATTGTTCTAGTGTTTTCAATCGATACAGTTATTGTTTGTGTGATCAGACAAATAATAAACAGTCAGGGGACTTATTGAAATAAGTGATTTTTAAATCACTTATTTAAGTAGCAAATTCGAAGTTTTGTCACAAATTGTGATTTTGTAGTTTTACCAAAATTTTTAACACAAAGGTTTAGATAATATCTTTTCATTAGTAAAATTGAAAAAAATGAACTTTTTGCTTCTTTTAAGCAGCAAGATTTATGCCTTTGATGCAATCATTTAGCTGCAAATTCTATTTTAGTTGAAAAAATGCTATAAAAATGGCTTTACATTATAATGAACTGATACTTTCTTAACAGATTTTTCCCAGCAGTGGGAGTATTTTTCCTGTAAAATTCAAGGTTTCATCTTATAGATTATGTAATAAAATTCTACTGTTCGTGATCAAAATTTCACTGTTTGGGGGTGTTGAAATTAGTGGGGGTTATTAAAATAAAGATACTTAAAGAAGTGATTTTTAGGAAGGAAATTGAGGTATGATACTTAAACAAGTGATTTTTATGTCATTATCCTAGATTTAGTACAAGGTCATCCTATCAACACAGATGTTGGTTCTGATAATTTTAGCAACATAATTAGTCCCTAGATCATTAGTATTCTATATTTAAAGCTACAATAAAATTAAATCACTTAGTCTAGTGATTAATTTGTACTACTTAAATAGGTGATTATTAAAGAAAGACAACTCTTATTTCCAACCTTTATGGACATAATGTTACTTGAATCAGTGATTTAGAAAATCACTCATTTTTTAAAGTAAGTCCCCTGACTGATAAATAGTGGATTCCAGTGTTTTAAATTTGAAGAAAAATATTCATGGAGAAACAAGTCAAGGATACAGTTTTCAATGGAAACTGAAAGGAGTGGAACGCAAGAAATTCACAAATTCACCTCCTACATTGTCCTACTGTGCGATCTCTGTTGCAAACGGGTTCCAATTCTGATTTTGGCCTCGATATTGATTACACATGTTCATATATTTATTTTTTTTTGTCAAATTGATTATTTGCTTGTTAAAACATGAAAATGGCCATTGTTAAAAGGTGAAATGACGATTTTGTGCGAAAAATAGGTGACCGCTCACTGAGTTAGACAGGTAACCGCTGAAAAATATTAAATGATACAGAGAAAACGTTTGGGAGGGTTTGAAAAGAGGGACGAAAGATACCAGAGGGACAGTCAAACTCATAAATCGAAAACAAACTGACAACACCATGGCCAAAATAAAAAGACAAACAGACAAATAATAGTACAGATGACACAACATAGAAAACTAAAGACTTTATATATATAAGCAATACGAACCCCACCAAAAACTGGGGGTGATCTCAGGTGCTCCGGAAGGGTAAGCAGATCCTGCTCCACATGTGGCACCCGTCGTGTTGCTTATGTTATCACAAATCCGTAAATAGTCTAATTCGGTAGGTCACATTCGTGAAAAGGGAAGGGTATTGCAGTTACGACATAAGGAACATATCCGATATCATCTGTGAAATGGTTATTCCATAGATAGAAACAAATGCCTTTGTCACAGGCTGTGGCTTGAACAGCTGATCCAAAATGTTTTAAAATAAAATTTAAGTTTACAAGTACATCATGTACATATTTTACCAAATCTTGTTTGAAGAAATTCGAAATTTGGGCTTCCATCTGTTAGGCACCATTCTTTTCTACTTTTCCAGTTTTTAGTGAAGTCTGTTGATAAGATGCACGGATAATTTGGGAGCAAATATTTCAAGAAAAAGTCTTGATAAGTTTTTTTCACTTCTATTTTCGGAATTTGTATTAATTCTGTGGAATTATTCCTCAATAGCATGATTTCCTCGTTTTTGTAGGGAAACATTTTCAAAAATGGGTTATCTGAAAAAACGTCATATGTAATTACAGAGTTATTTCATCAGAAATATAAGCTTATGTTTCGAAAAGTTATAAAATGTTATGGGCGCAGACATCTTTAATAGTGATGTTCATGTTAAAAAAAATCTGTCCATTTTAATGTTTAAAGTTATATAAATTAATTTATAATATGATTTTTTTGAAAATATATACACTTTTGAATACGATGGATGCAATATAATTTTATTTTATTGTCAACTATAACATATAACTCGATTCTTACACTTTTGTCTTACGCTGTACATCATTCTTTCAAAGTGAAAGTAGAACTTGCTTGATGTTGCCACAACACACACAAATTGGAATACAGTCCATGTACATACAGAATACATATTGTCTATTATAATAGAAGATAAAACAAGGTAACGAATAACACTAAAATTAAACCTGAATTTAATTGTTATTTTTAAAATAGTTTTATTTTAACTTTTAAAGTCATACATGTATAACCAGGAACATATAACTAAGGAAGTTAAAACTGGATTATTGGTGAACCATACAATGTAGGTGTTTCTCTAATTCTCATCCGATTTGTACTTTTACCAACAAATTGATTATTTCTTTAATCAATGAGTGGTTCGTTTGATCTCAGTTCTTCATTAATGTCATAATTACATTATGACTTAAAAATGTTCTAACTTTGCTTGCTCTAAATTTCCTATTGAGACAGCTAAACTAAAAAAGGTGACCATGCCTGATGATGTTTGACACATAGAAAGAACACATTTTTTTGCAGATCATTGGAAATAGAAAAATAAAAGTTTACATATTAGACAAACGGATTCCACCAATGAATGCAGAATCTTCTGCAAAACGGCATTTCTTCACTTTCAACAAATCAATTTTTGATAGTAAAATTTAACTGCCTGGAGTAGAGAAATAATGAATGACACTTGATTGGTATTTATACATCTTTGAGTGTACAACCAGGTTCAGCAACAAATTCAGTGGAAAATATTTATTTTTATCTCTTCATCTTGTTACCTGAGTTGTCCAATGTCATGAATGTAGTCAAGTTAACACCAATCAACTGGATTTGGGGGGGCAATTTTGAAATAAAAAATTCGTAAGGGTTCCGCGGAACCCAGTGTCTCGCCTACTTTTGCTGTTAATCGCAGGCTCAACAAAAATGAGGAAAAAAAATCAATAAAAATATTCCTTTAGATACTATCTTTTGATTGTAAGAAGCTTCTGTCAAAGTTTGGTATAAATCCAGGATAGTTTATGAATCTAATAAATGTTTTAAAAACTTTCACTGCAGACTGTATTTAATGTTAACTGGAAGAAAAACTAAGTCCATTTATAAGTAAAATACGGATAAACAGGTACAAATTTTAACAAAATTTCTTTCTAGATACTAGCTTTTGATCATAAACAAGCTTCTGTCCAAATTTGGTACAAATCCAGGATAGTTTAAGAAAGTTATTAAAATTTTAAAAACTTTAACCAGAGTGAAAATATTGTTTCCTGGCAGAAAAACTAAGTCCATTTATAAGTAAACTATGAAAAAAATGAAATTTTTTTTTTAACAACTTTACTTCTGGATACTATCTTATGATCATAAACAAGCTTCTGTCAAAGTTTGGTACAAATCCAGGATAATTTAAGAAAGTTATTAAAATTTTAAAAACTTTAACCACAGAGTGAATGTAATGTTTCCTGGCAGAAAAACTAAGTCCATTTACAAGTAAAATACGGAAAAACAGAAATTTTATTTTTACAAAATTTACTTCTGGATACTATCTTATGATCATAAACAAGCTTCTGTCCAAGTTTGGTAGAAATCCAGGATAGTTTAAGAAAGTTATTAAAATTTCAAAAACTTTAACCACAGAGTGAATATTTGTGGACGCCGCCGACGACGACGACGCCGACGGAATGTAGGATCGCTATGTCTCGCTTTTTCGACTAAAGTCGAAGGCTCGACAAAAATGAAAACTATATACATTTGTATTCTATAAATTGCAACTGGAAAATCTAGTTGCCCAAAATTACCTCCCCTGCAAATACTGAGAAATTTTGTTTTGTATGTTAATTCTCTCTTCATGAGGATGCTACATATAAATTTCATAAAAATCTAACAAGAATTATATATGTGAGAGAGCTTAAGAGTGCTTACAGGACCAGACACAGAAACACCAAGACACACAGAAGTGGCAGGTCAAAAGAAAAGTAAGATCAGCTTTCTAAGGGAGCTACCATTTGATTTAATATGGGAGGGGTGGGGGTGAGGCAGGACAGGAGTTTTGAGTAAAAAAAAGCAGGATGAGCAACTTGGCAAAAAACAAAAAAAAGGCAGGATGACAATTTATGTAAAAAAGTCGGATAAACTAATAAAAAAAAAGAGGCAGGACCGAATAGAGTGAAAAATGAAAAATAAAAAGGCAGGACAGAGATTACAACTGAAAAAATGCAGGACAAAATTTTTCATTCTAGCCCCCCCCCCCCCCCCCCCCCCTATAAAAATCAAACAAATGGTAGCTCCCTAAGAGAAACCTTTTTTATAGCTGTTCTTCATGATGTTCATGATGTTTTATATGGGTGGTTTACTTGGTTTTTGATTAAAAAAAATTATCGTATATTATTATCATTATTATTTCTTTTATTACAGTATTAGTTTTTTTTTCAGATTATTTTTATTCAAGACTTTACAGCATCAAAGACATTAACATGATTGTTTTATTCCATGAACTCTATATCATAGTTCAGACAGTTATACAATGGTTAAGACCACCTAAACATCATTTAAAACAAATAAAACACGGCAAACATGTCAAGTTTGATGATGACTTGGATGGAAGGAAAGAAGAAGTTGTTGAGGAAATGGAGACAGCAGTATTTGTGGAAATGGAAGGAAGGCCACCAGATTTTAGTGTGGATAGATATGACAAAACTGTAAATTTTCCATTTCTTTGTGATGAGCGAACTATTTTACACATAAAACACTCTAAAACTATGTTTATAATGAGAGGAGTTTCTGGATCAGGGAAATCAACACTAGTTAGATTGATTGGTAATATATATAGGGATAGTCGTATTTGTTCAGCCGACCAGTATTTTATAAAAAACGGTGAATATCAATTTGACAAATCCAATTTATCAATTGCACATGAAAAATGCGGTGAAAAAGCAAAGAAAGCATGTTTAAATGGGGTACCAGTTATAGTCATAGATAATACAAACGTTAAACGATGGGAAATGTCCAGTTACTTGGCGCTGGCTTTCACAAACAATTATCCGGTTGTCATAGTACAACCAAGAACACCATGGAGTAAGGATGCTGATAAGTTAGCTGAACTCAACAGCCATGGGGTCACAGCAGATATTATCAGACGAAAATTAAGAAGTTTTGAAGACGTCACAGCATTGTATTATGGATGGTTTATTGATGAAAAGCAGTCTAATATGATATATCAATTAGGGAGAAAGAGTTTGGAAGAGTGCCTTAGAGTTTTTCCACAGTTTAAGGATTTGTTACTTTTCCAGTCACCAGGTTTGTTTAAGTATAAAAATATTATGTTTGTGAATTATATAAAGATCTTTCAAAACATTTGTTCCGCAGAACCCTGCAATTATTGCCTGCAAAATGCTCCTGTCAGTGTAAAAGTGTAATTTTGACTGCCAAAAACTATCCATTTATCAGTTAAATATGGAAAAATACAAAAAATAATTTCTTTAGATGCTATTTGATGTAGAAGCCTCTGTCCAAGTTTCATAACATTCAATGAAGGTTTGACAAAGCTATTTATTAATGTATAAAAAATATGAACCCACACTGTATATAAATTTTTACTGCAAAAAGGCCACAGTCTACTAGAATTATACCGAAAATGGAAAATATATTTTTAAAATTTTGCTTCAGCTGCTATCTCTTTATCATAAAAAAGCTATTGTCCAAGTTTCATTAAATTCTATGAGGGTTTGACAAAAATACAAATTCATGATTGTATTGATGTATAAAAAAGTTGAACCTCAGATCAGGAAGACTGTTGCAAAAAAAACTATGAGTACACATTATCTGATTATGGAAAAATTTTAAAAAAAAAGTGAAAATAAATTTTGCTCTTGACCATGTTGACACTGTCTTTTTATCAAGAAGAAGCTTCCGTCCAAGTTTTGTAAAAATCCATGAAGGTTTGACAAATTTATTTATGTCTAAAACTTTAACCTTAGACTTTATCTAACTGAAAAACATTCCAAACCATTAATCAGTAAAGTCAGTAAAGTAAGAAAAATGAAAAAAGATATTTTCAAATATTGCTTTTATTCATGAGAAGCTTTTGTCTAAGTTTCTTAAAATTCAAATAAGGTTTCACAAAATTATTGAACTATTGACTAAACCTAAATGTTGACAACACAGGTCGCAGAATCTAGAATGTAGGATCGCTTTGTCTCACGTCCATGACTTTCATCAGTTCATTGCAGGTGAGACAAAAATTAATAGAATACTTTCGAGAAATGTATATGGTTAACAGAACAATAGTATTTGATTTAAATTTTTATTTAGTTACAATTTAAAATCATGGTTGATATGATTTCAGATCTATTAGAAGCAGTAGAGAAAGAAATGGATGACTGTATACTGAAGTGCACAGAATGGTATGGTTGGCATTTCCCAGAATTGAAGAAGCTAGTCCCGAACAGTTTGATTTATGCAAGAGTTGTTAAACAGTTAGGTAATTTTGATTTTTTTCTATAGTGTCCTTGTTTAAAATCACACAATCATCTTTTCCTTAATGATCATTTGCAACTGTCATACAAGTGAGAGGTTTAGCTAGCTATAAAACCAAGTTTAATCCACCGTTTTCTACATAAGGAAATGTCTGTACCAAGTCAGGAATATGACAGTGTTTTCCATTCTTTTGATTTTGCCATTTGATAAAGGACTTTCTGTTTTGAATTTTCCTTGGAGTTCTGTATTTTTGTTATTTTACTTTTTGTTACTCTCTAGCTTTTTTTTTCAGACAATGCTTTAGAATTTTTTACTCAACAACCACTGATTAATGTAAAAATTTTAAGATTTTTGTTAAACAAAATTCACATGGCTTTGACCTTATTTCATGATGATTTCCTATATTACCATAAGCAAAAGGTCAACTATAGTATATTTGAGATATGGAATGATTTATGGTGACCTTGACCTTTTTCATTATCATTTGGTCAATATTAAGGTTTTGTGATAAGGTTTCTTCTAAGACACCTTAAACAAAAGGTCAAGTTCATTTTTTTTTGTTCAAAGAGTTGTAAGGTGAACCTACCTTTCTTACTGGGTTCATCTGGCCATTACCATGTTTTCATTATTCATTGGTCAATATTATGTTTTAGGTCTGTTTCTCAGAAAGCAATTAGACAACTGTATTCGACGTAAATAATGATTAAATTGATGGAAACACGTCTTTCTGCGGGGTTCTTCTGACTTAATTGTACTTCATTTTCATGGTTCATTAATCAGCATTTAGTTTTTATACGACCGCTAAAAAAATTGTGTTCATATAATGCTATCATTATCCGGACAATAACTTTAGTTTAAGTGAATGGATCTCTATGAAATTTTACCAGAAGGTTCAATACCACAAAAGGCAGGTTGGGAATGATCTTAGGTATTATGGTATTAACAGTTTAGGATTAAGGGGCCAAAAAGGTGCCAAAAATAAGCATTTTTGTACTTTCTGAACACTAACTTGTGTGTAAGTGTATGGATCTCTCTGAAATTGTACCACAAGGTTCCATATCACAAAGGGAAGGCTTGGAATTGCCCCAAACGTTCAGGAATTAGGGGCAAAAAAGGGGCCAAAAACAAGCATTTTTGTAGTTCCCAGACAATAACTTGTGTTAAAGTATTTGGAACTCTCTGAAATTGTACATTTTTCCTGAAAAGAAAATAATCTTCAAAATTTCAAAAAAAAAATTGCGGAGTTTCAAAAAGTTTGGTGGGTGGTGGTCCAATATTTTTTGGGGGTTCATATTATTTTTTTCTTTCAATTTTTTGGGGGGTTCGTACGTTTTTTCTGTAAAATTTTTCAAAATTATTTTGTTTTTTTTTAGGAGGGGGGGTGGGGGTGTGGACAAATTGTTTTTGGGAAATTTTTTTTCATAATTTTTTGGGTTTTTTTTTCCAAAAATTTTCTATTTTTACATTGATTATTTCTGATTTATATATAAAAGCAAAAAATACTGATATGGCAGGAGATACACACCAAACAGGGTGTGTAAATTATTATATTTAACAGATTAGCTAAGTATTGTGCAACAGCACAGTATTGCACAATAGCAAGAAATCTTCAATTGAAAATAAATACAAATGTTTTAACCAATTTCAATGGAATTAAATTAAATCTTAATTTTTGGGGGTTCTAACCTTGTATTTCTATTTTGGATATTGGGCCCCATTTTTAAATTGGTCTACATTGAGGTACAAAAGGTCTAAAATTAAACTTTGTTTGATTTCATCAAAAACTGAATTATTGCAGCTCTATGATATGCTGAATCTTACTTTGCATTTAGATTTTTTATTTTGGGCCCTGTTTTCAAATTAGTACATATTAAGGTTTGAAGGGTCCAAAATTAAATTTTTGGTGTTTTTTTATATGCTGAATCTAACCATGTTCTTCAATTTTGGATATCAGAACATTCTAGGTAAATTAAATGTCCCATTTCAAATTTTTAAGATCTTTGACCACATTTATTTTGTTTCAGAACCCTGTATTATGTCAAAAATTTTATCACAATCCAAATTCAGACAGTATCAAGCTGGAATATTGTGTCCAATAAAGGCAACGGTAGTATACTGCTGTTGGAAAGTCATAAATCGATTGAGAGAAAACAAATCCGGGTTACAAACTAAAACAAAGGGAAACACATCAACTATAAGAGGAAAACAACGACACAACAGAAACACTGAAGTTACTGAACATGCTGAAGTGAACAAAAAACAAACAACAATGCAACACTCACAAAAACGAACTATAAGATAACAACTGCCATTTGTATACGACTGTAAAAAAATTTTGCGGTCGTATATTGGTATCACGTCGTCGTCGTCCTCCGAAGACACTTGGTTTCCAGACATTAACTTTAGTATTAGTTAATAGGGTTATTGAGGTTCATTCCTCCTATTCCCACTTTTTATAAATCTGTTAAGAAAAGTTAAAATTTCATGTGGGAATAGGGGGAAAACTTGTGCAAACAAACTTTAAGGATTATACTGTATAAACATTGTTTAATCAACTTTTAATTGACAAATGTTTTTTAGGATAGGTAATAGGTTATTTTTGTGTGTGTTTGACTTAAAAATAAATATGAAAGAAATGAAAACAAATAAATGTAAATTATTTTATTTTTTATAACACAAATTCAACAGTAGATTCAAGCATTCATTATAATATGAAACAAACAATACAACAGCACTAAAACAAATCAGACAGTGTAGCACACACATTAGAAATTTACTGTATATAAGTCTATTAAAGTTTATTAATCTATTCAACCAGAAGAAGGTGGGCGGCTGCGTCACCAAACTGTCCTGTTGTGACTTCCTGGTTTCGGTATCTAACCTTAAGCTCTTCTTATCTGTTGTTGATTTCATTTTGGGCTACTCCCTTCCCACCGGCTGCATACTGGATCATGGTCAGGGCATTGAAAGCTTCCTCATGTTTCAGTAGTTTTATGAGTTTAAAGATGTTTGGATGTGGGTGCTGGACATGTTTCTTTAGCTTGCTGTGCCATCCCTCTAGATGATTTGTAGTCCTTGGTCCCTGTGTAGTGTAATGGTTCCAGCTGCATGTGGTCAGACCTATGGTTGTGGTTTTCTGAGACTTTTCATGGTTAGACTTTTCTAAATGAATTTCATATCTTTGATTATTGGTCCAAGTAATATTATTGTTAGAGTATACTTTTATATCACATCTTAAGATTATATTTTGTTATAATATCATCGGCGTTTTACGTTTCCGCAAATTGGCATTACTTTTCTGGAAAAAAAAAATGACATTTCCGCAAAAAAAAAGTCTACGTTTCCGGAAATAAATACCTTACTTTTCCAAGAAAATAGTAACGATTCCGGAAAAAATAAATGATTACTTTTTCGAGAAAATAATTAAGGAGTACCTTGAACTTTGTCATAAATGAAACCTGCAACTATACTGATTGTAGCAGCAAACAATTTTTGTATAACAGAAATACATTGCATTGCACATTCAAAGTCAATATGATCTACCTCGGGCTGGACAGTTAGTCTTGGGGTAGTGCACACATCAATAAGCAGATCCCACATTTTGATAAAAAATGGAAGTAACGCAAACACAATAGGAATGTAGTTACCATTTTTCACCCATGTATCGATTAATTACATAGACGATCATAGACATTTCAAGTTGGTGAAACATAAAATATAACGATTCCAACAACATCATCTTTCACTAAGGTGAAACTTTCATTTTTTTTATATCTAGTATATTGTAGATATTAGATCAGAACCTTTTTTGTATAAAAATATGAAATAAATAATTTATCTAACATATATTCAAATATTAATAATTTACTACCAGGTAAATTTCCGGAAAAGTAATAAATACAATTTCTGGAAACGTATACTTTAAGTTTCCGGAAACGTAGTATTGGAACTTTGAAAAATTAGCGGAAATGCAATACGCCCAATATCATCTATCATCAACTTATTTGTTCGGATGACAATTTTTTAAGTTTACAAATTCAATGATTTTTTATCTTACTTCTAATTATCTGACTTATTCTTTTTTAGTATTTCTTTGAAGAAAACAAAAACATATTACAAATAAACAGTGTATTAAATTATTATTATTTTTTTTAAATAATATTATACTTCAACAGTGTAAGAAATATGTTTACTTTCAAAAAATACAGATAAATCTTAGGTGAATTTTTAATTAACCTTAATTGTTATAAAAACAAATTATTTATCAAAACATCTATTTTTATTTGCATGTGGGAATAGAAGGAATAGTGAATTTTAAAAAGTGGGAATAGGAGGAAGACACCGTTAATAGAAATCTATGAAATTTAAACATAAGGTTTATAACCACAAAAGGAAGGTTGGGATTGATTTTGGGGGTTATGGTCCTAACAGTTTAGGAATTAGGGGCCAAAAAAGGGGCCCAAATAAGCATTTTTTTATAGTTTTCAGACAATAACTTGTGGAACAGTGTATGGATCTCTCTGAAATTGTACAACAAGTTTCCATACCACAAAGGGATGGTTAGAATTGGCTTTAAGGGGTAATGGCTCAAACTGTTTAGGAATTAGGGGCAAAAAAAGGGGAAAAAACAGGGTTTCCTTGTTAATGGACAATCACTTTAAAGTACAATGTTAAATTTTGGGATTACCGGTACCTCCCTTACACTGCTTTAAAATTATGTATAAAGAAATTTTGTATTGTCTTGAGGTGATTAGCTGTCAACAATTTTTTTTCTCATTACAGATTTCATTTCAGAAATTAAAAAAAAAATTTCTTCAAATATTTTATTTTTTTTTTGTAAAAAAAAAAGGGGTGGATGAAAAAAAAATTGTTTGCCAAAAAAAAAGGGGGGTGAATTTTATTTGGGGGGGGGGGGGATCAATTCGCAACAGCATAGTGTATTGCACAAAAGCAAAAAATTGAATATAAATTCAAATTATATAACCAATTCTAAGCTCTTTGACTACAGTTATTCTGTGTCAGAAACCTATTATATGTCAAACATTTAATTTCAATCCAAATTCAGACCTGTATCAAGTACGAATATTGTGTCCATTTTTGCCCCAACTGTTCAGGGTTGGGCCTCTGCGGTCGTATCCAGCTTCGCTCGGCGAAGCAATTTATCCTGACTTGGTACAGGATATTTTAAGAAAAAATGGTGGATTGAACCTGGTTTTGTGGCAAACTTGACCAAACTGTTCAGGGTTCCACCTCTGCGGTCATATCAGGCTGCGCTCGGCGAAGCATTTTTTTGTGATTACATCTATTTCTCAGATACGATAAGCTTGATAAGTAAAAAGAGAGCTGTATAGATTGTAATGTGTAATGTCTGTCTGACTTCATCTGACCTTGACTTCATTTAGCATGGATCATTAATAAAGTCAAGTTTGTGTGATGCAAGCTGAAAGCAGCGATCAATTTCACAAAAAAATCTTACTAGAAAAAATACTCTTTTAGCACGATCATTTCAGTATAAGTTACCATAGATTTGTGTTGTAAGATTATTTGTGAAAAGAGCCTGAGGCAATTATTTCAGCACTTTTTTTTTTATCCTTTAATCCTTTTGTCATGATTTATATCAATTTATTTTTGACAGGACACAGGAAAAATGCAAACACTATAAATTTTAGTAACATTTTACCCAGGAAACAAGAGAATGACCTGAAATTTGCAGCTAAACACTCAATGGGAAAAGACATTTCTGATGAAGATTTAATACTCATAACTGACTTATGTGTTCAGGTTAGTATGTCATGTATGTATCATGTAAGTAAAACCTAGAGAACTGCCAAAATGAAGATTTAATACTCATAACTGACTTCTGTGTTCAGGTTAGTATGTTGCATGCAAGTAAAACCTTGAGGACTACCGAAATGAAGATTTAATACTAGTACTCATTACTGGTTTATATGTTCAGGTTAGTATGCTACATGTAAGTAAAACCTAGAGGGCTTCCAAATGAAGATTTAATACTCATAACTGACACGTGTTCAGGTTAGTATGTTACATGTAAGAAAAACCTAGAGGACTGCAAAAATGAAGATTTAATACTCATTACTGGTTTATGTGTTCTGTTTAGTATGTTACATGTAAGTATAAAACCTAGAGGACTGCAAAAATGAAGATTTAATACTCATTACTGGTTTATGTGTTCTGGTTAGTATGTTACATGTAAGTATAAAACCTAGAGGACTGCCAAATGAAGATTTAATACTCATTACTGGTTTATGTGTTCAGGTTAGTATGTTACATGTAAGTATAAAACCTAGAGAACTGCCAAAATGAAGATTTAATACTCATTACTGGTTTATGTGTTCAGGTTAGTATGTTACATGTAAGTATAAAACCTAGAGAACTGCCAAAATGAAGATTTAATACTCATTACTGGTTTATGTGTTCAGGTTTGCAGTATGTTACATACAAGTAAAACCTAGAAGACTGTCAAACAGCTGTTTTTATCTGTCAACATTAAACCTACATTTTAAATATTTCAAAATTTCATGAAATCCAGTTTGATTGGTTGAGAAAACCAGCGTGCCATGGATAAACAAATGGACTTTACTCAGTAACTGACTTGTTGAAGGCTGTAAAATGACTTATAGATGTTAACTTCTACGTCATTTGGTCACTGGTGGAGAGTTGTCTCATTGGCAATTACACCACATCTTCTTATTTTTATATTCACTCTTTAAGCAATGTATCGATTGCAACTTGGTATCTCTCCAAATATTGAGCTATTATTATCTTTATAAAACCAGCACATATTGTAAGTTAAAAAATCTTGTATTGGTCCCAAATAGTTTAGGCCTGTTACCATGGTTACATCTGTAAATTTATAGCTTGTTTAAAATCTTCAAACATGATTTATTTGTACTATATTAATTTACAGCAATTGATTGTGCCTTCAAAGGAAAGACATCCTTGGGAACCCCACTATATCGACTTTACAAGAAAAGGCATACATATTAATTTCTCTTTTGAATTGTTTTACATTTTTTGATGCTTGTGTCATATGGTATTTTGAACCCACTCAAAAGTGACCAAGGGGTCAAAATACAATATGGAAAAATACGAGTTCTCAGAGAAATTATTGAAGGCCGTACAGTGACTTTTTATTACTAATTTCTATGCCATTTGGTCTTTCAGATAATAGAATTAACAGAGTTCAAAGACAACTTAGAAGAATTCATTAGAAACCCAATGACAGGAAACTCTCCAGCAGTAACAGAACATGTTGGTCAGGTGATAGGATCACTTCTCATTTCACATGCAGGTAAAATACTGTAAATTCAGAAATTATTGTGAGGTTTTTATTAATGTGAAAAATGCGACTACTTGAATATAAGAACTCGCATTCTGAAATCAAATACATTTATCTGTATGTAGCTTTTCCTAAAATCGCAATAATAAATGCATGCAATAATTTCTGAATTTTTCAGTAGAACAGCACAATAAAACTCTGACAGGGGTTCTAAATAGAACTCTTGCCACGGATTGATATAGCTTTTTGTTATTGATAATGTTAATTTTTAAGACAATAGGTTGACCTCTAGATGACTTTTGCCATAAGGACATTAACTTCTTATTTGACAAATAACCAACTTTTTGGTACATGAATTTCATTTTATTTGAAGATCATATTTTACAACATAATTTGGAATGCGATTAATTTACTGTAAATTCAGAAATTTTTGCATGCATTTATTATCGCAATTGTTAAACAATGGACACAAATGCCAGATTAATTATTGCTATTTCAGGAAATGCTCCATTCAAATATGCAATCAAAATTTAAATTTTTTTTATTTTTTGCGAAATATATCCCATCACAGTTTTTCTCAATATTGAAAACATAGCAATAATTTATAAATTTACAATACCGGTACATGATGTTCAAAATTATGTAATAAGGGAAAATAAATGTGTGTATTTTCATATGAGCTGTGTCGGATAGAAATCAACCTTATGCAAATGAATATCAATATATCTGTTAACCTATTTCAGGTTGAAAAAATTTCTATGCAAAGTCTGTAACTGTTTGAAAATTGAGTTGATATAAGAATCCTACAGAACAGAACAAAATTAATTTTTTATTGTCGAGCCTGCGACTTTTGTCGTAGAAAGCTCGACATAGGGATAGTGATCCAACAGCTGCATTAACTAACTTCTTAAAAGCTTTATATTTTAGAAGCTAGAAGACCTGAATGCTTCATACTTTGCATATAGATGCCTTATGTTACGAAGTTTCCGACTGTCACATGTCCATTGTCCTTGACCTCATTTTCATGGTTCAGTGACTACTTGAAAAAAAAGTTAAGATTTTTTGTAATGTTAGTTTCTTTCTTATTATGAGTAATAGGATAACTATATTTGGTATGTGCGTACCTTGCAAGGTCCTCATGCCCGTCAGACAGTTTTCACTTGACCCCGACCTCATTTCATGGATCAGTGAACAAGGTTAAGTTTTATAGGTCTAGTATATTTGGTGTATGTAAGGATTGTAAGGTGTACATGTCCAACTGGCAGGTGTCATTTGAACTTGACCTCATTTTCATGATTCAGTGGTTATAGTTAAATTTTTGTGTTTTGGTCTGTTTTTCTTATACTGTACACAATAGGTCTACTATATTTGGAGTATGGAATGATTGTAAGGTGTACATGTCCAACTGGCAGGTGTCATCTGACCTTGACCTCATTTTCATGGTTCAGTGGTCAAAGTTAAGTTTTTGAGTTTTGGTTTTTTTTTCTAATACTATATGCAATAGGTCAACTATATTTGGTGTATGGAAATATTTTATGATGCACATGTCAGTCTTACAGGCTTTATTTGACCTTGACCTCATTTTCATGGTTCATTGCTCAGTGTTAAGTTTTTGTGTTTTGGTCTGTTTTTCTTAAACTATAAGCAATAGGTCAACTAAATTTTTTGTATAGAAGGATTGTAAGCTGTATATGTCTGTCTGCCAGGTATCATCTGACCTTGACCTCATTTTTATTGGTCAATGTTAAGTTTTCATGGTTAAGTTTGTTTTTTAGATAAGCAATAGGTCAACTATATTTAATGCATAGGTTGATTGTAAGGTGTACATGTCTGCCTGGAATGGTTCATCTGACCTTGACCTCATTTTCATGGTTCATTGGTCAATGTTTAGTTTTCTTGGTAAAGTCTGTTTCTTAGAAACTATAAGCAATAGGTAAACTATATTTAGTGTATTGAATGATTGTAAGGTTGATAGTTGTAGTAAAGCTTTATATTTAGGACTATCAACATAATATCAATGGTTAGTAAAGAAGGCGAGACATTTCAGCGTGTGCACTCTTGTGTAAACTTGTTTCTTATTTGAATGTTCCAAAATCAATCAAAGTCTTATACATGTTCTTGCATAAGGTCGATTTCTATCTGACTCTGCTCATATTATGATGAAAAAAACTTTGCTTATAATAAGAAAAAATAAATGTTTCTCTGCAAAATATATTTACATTGATAAATCATTTATTTTAGATACAGTAGAGCAGAAAATGTATGAAAATTTCAAGTTAAATTCACCAAAAATTCTTCATTGCACAGCAATGTTCATGGGAACTAGAAGAAACCCTGCTCCAAACAGTGATACATATCCAAAACAGGACATAGTTCAAAAGTCATATGGGTCAGTGTATGACCTTAAAATCACCAGAATAACAGTCACCCCAAGAACAATAGGGGCCAAAGTGCAGTTGTCGAAGCAATGTTTAAAATTATATGAAAAACCTCAGGAAAAGGAAAGGGAGATAAATCTGAGAACAATTATGAGCCATAACTCTGTCTCTCTAGAATTTGGTAGAGCTGCACATGTTACCATAGGAACAGTACCAGGGATTTCTCCAGTCACAACAAATGAGGATCTGTTAGATATTTTAGATGCTGAAATGAAAAGTAATATAGAAAATATTCCTATAACTGTACGCAAGTGTGCTTTAGGGACAATACAGAATGTAGGAAAAGACTTGTTTATTGTTAATCTTGATAGTCCAATTACTGTTCAGGGTTTATATACAGGGTTTTATGGTGGCAGCTTCAACAATTCTCCCAAAAAATAAATTTATTATACCTGGTGTTGTTCTATGTGGAATAAGAAGTGGAGAAAAAAGAATGTTCCTCCTAAAATTTGCAAAGCAGACAGGGGGATTGGTGGGGTATAGAGAGGGTGGTAGGCACTCAAATTAATTAAATATGGGATTTTGTAAGAATTCTCAGTAAAACGAAAATTTTAATTTATGGGTAGTCAGAGTCTTAAAAAAGTTCCTCCCACTTTTCCCATGCATTTAATTCTGGAACAGCCCTTAAAGATATCTTCATAAAATTTAAATGTCTGTCTATCTGTCTGTCCATTTTTTCCGTCACTTTGTCTGTCCCATTTTACAGATAAAAGTTTTGGTTTAAGGTAGATATCGTGAAGTTGTGGTGATATCAACTTAAAACTTAGTACAGATGTTACTTATGAAGTGAACTTTTAAAATATATATAAAAAAGAAGATGTGGTATGATTGCCAATGAGACAACTCTCCACAAGAGACCAAATGACACAGAACTTAACAACTATAGGTCACCATACGGCCTTCAACAATGAGTAAAGCCCATACCGCACAGTCAGCTATAATAGGCCCCGAAATGACAATGTAAAACAATTCAAACGAGAAAACTAACGGCCTAATTTATGTACAAAAAATGAACGAAAAACAAATAGGTAACACATAAACAAACGACAACCACTGAATTACAGGCTCCTGACTTGGGACAGGCACATACATACAGAATGTGGCGGGGTTAAACATGTTAGCGGGGTCCCAACCCTCCCCATAACCTGGGACAGTGGTGTAACAGTACAACATAAGAACGAACTATAAAAATCAGTTGAAAGAGGCTTAACTCATCAGATTGATAAAAATACAAATACTACAAATACAAGTGGACGTGGCCGGGTACTTGTACATCCAAATAACAAAAAGACACTAAGTACAGATCTGAGAGTACTCGCAGTTACTGACAGCCATTTCAAAGCCACTAACAACTAATAAAAAAAATCATGCATCTAAGACTAAATTATCAATCTGTAATATGCTAACTTATGGTTTTGACCTAAAAATTTCAGTTAACAGAACATAGGAATGTGAGAGTGAGTGAGACGTGGTGTCCAATTGACACATTTTCTTGTTATCCTTTGTTTTAAAGCTTTTTTAATGCTTATGGGATAATGAAAGTTTTAGCAATTATTTTCTTCATTGTTTTATTACTGTATTTTATGTAATCTATACATATACTGTTTCATTTCTCCTTATTATTTCTATTATTTAGCAAAATTTTGCTAAGCATTAACTTGCTTTTGTTTTTCTTTGTTAAAATAATTATTTGTTTTTTTAGTGATTAAGATTATAACACAATGTTGACTGCTGTACCCTAATTTTTTATCTATTATCATGATTATGTCTGTTTGTTTTGCTCACACATTGATGTCAATATAATGGAATTCTATGCAACTGTCATACATTCTGGTTTAGCTAGCTATAAAACCAGGTTTAATCCACCATTTTCTACATAAGGAAATGCCTGTACCAAAGTAAGGAATATGACAGTTGTTTTCCATTCGTTTGATGTGTTTGCACAGTTGATTTTTCCATTTGATAAAGGACTTTCCATTTTAATTTTTTCGTTGGAGTTCGGTATTTTTTTATTTTTTACTTTTGCTTATCTTTTAGCATTAATATTAGTGAATGTGCTTTTTGAAGAGAAAGGCATTTCTTAAAGGAATTCAGATTAATATGAATTATAATGAGAGAATTAACATAAAAGTGTAGGAATGAAAAAATGATCAACAAACAGAATATGTCGATTTTCTCCTTTAACCATTGTGATTTGTAAAATTTGGCACAATTTTTTCGGAATTTTTCGTTTTTTAATGCTCTTCAATTTTGATTTTTATTTGAGTTGCCATGTTTTTTATTTAATTGCCCTTATCAGTCTTATATAAATTTAATGCCTGTCAGACGTACCAAATTATAAGTCTTGTATGTTTGATGAGTATTTTAAACATACATAACTGTTATATATTTTAGCAATATTACTATTGTTTCTTAAAGAACTTTGTCTGCTGTGATGCTTTTGAATGTGTTCTTCTTTTATTTGTTTGTTACATACATTAATCAGCCATTAATTGTTTTTGAGTGAATATTGATAAGCTTACTCTTTTCTTTGTCTTAAATATAATTTTTTATTTAATTTAATCTGGGTATTCTTGAAAGCAAGAGAAATGGTCCATATGTGTTCCTCCCTTTTCCCCATTCAATTTGTTTCCTTTTTTTTGGTTCTGCATTTTATTTTCATTCATATATTTTTAGGTGATGTTTATGGTATTGGTGTGTCATTGTCATCTCTATGGTAATCTGTATACACAAGTTTTTTAGCTATCTGTTTTAAGATTTTATGAAATATTTTTTTTGTAAATTTAATGAATGATGTATTGTTTGTTTCTCAATGAATCTATGCAGAGAACTTATACTATTCAATTAAAAGTAGAGTAACTCAGTTTAAAATAAAAGTCAATTTAAATGTCCAGTACACATGCTACATAATTTAACAGAAGTGGAACGTGCAATTTAGAAAGATATTTCTAGCCTTGCATTACAGTTAAACTTAAGTCCTTTCTACAACATATTTTACAAGTAAAATTGATGAAAAAAAGAAAGGTATAATGAATAGTTTATTCATGTAATTTTTCTAGTGAAAATGCTTATAGTACTTGGCTGTTTGAAGGTGAGTATCTCACAACACGACATTTGTCAAATGAAAAATCCATGACTGATCTTTAGTCAGGACTTCTTAGAAGTAAATCCAGCAATGTAGGTAAGGAATTCTAGTGATATTGGGGATTTCATCATTATTTTTGTCAACTTTATAACATTTTTGTACAAAAATTTTTGCGGTCGTATATTGGTATGACATCGTCGTCGTTGTCGTCCTAAGACACATTGGTTTTCGCACAATAACTTTAGTTTAAGTTAATGGATCTCTATAAAATTTTACCATAAGGTACAATACCACAAAAGGAAGGTTGGGATTGATTTTGGGGGTTATGGTACCAACAGTTGAGGAATAAGGGGCCAAAAATAAGCATTTTTGTAACTTCCAGACAATAACTTGTGTTTAAGTGTATGGATCTCTCTGAAATTATACTACAAGTTTCCATACCACAAAGGGATGGTTAGGATTGGCTTTGGGGGTTATGGCTCAAACCATTAAGGAATTAGGGGCAAAAGAGGGGGAAAAACAAGGGTTTCCTGGTTAATGGACAATTTAAAAGCAGTGTAAGGGAGGTACCTCCCTTACACTGCTTTTAAATGGGTAATTATGGTTGCAAACTCCATTGGTAATTTGAATTGAGATTATGACCATATCTTGAGGGAAAGAATTTTTTTTTTTGGAAAAAGGGGGGGGGGGGGGGCAATTTTTTTCTCATTTCAGATTTCAGAAATTAAACAAAATTTCTTCACATATTTTTTATTTTGCAAAAAAAAGGTGCAGGGGGAGATTTTTTTTTGGGGGGGAAAGGGGTTTGGGGGGGGGGGGGTCAATAAGCAACAGCATAGTGTATTGCACAAAAGCAAAAAAAAAATGGGTTATTTTTTATTCATAATTTTTTTTTTGGGGGGGGGGGCTCAATTCGCACAGGCACAGTGTATTGCACAAAAGCAAAAAAATGAATATAAATTCAAATCATATAACCAATTCTAAGTTCTTTGGCTACAGTTATTCTGTGTCAGAAACCTATTATGTGTCAAATATTTAGTTACAATCCAAATTCAGACGTGTATCAAGCGCGAATATTGTGTCCATTTTGCCCCAACTTGATAGAGTTGGACCTCTGCGGTCGTATCCAGCTGCACCTGGCGAAGCAATTTATTTATAATAATATAAAATAAAAATCCCAAATGGACGGAATTTTAACTTTTATGAATTTTATTGAAAACTATGGTTTGTATTTAATGGCAGCACAATCAGCATTGCAGAGTTTTATGCATTTTTTACATTTAAATAAATTTTAAGAAAGCTTTTATTGTTTTAATTCAGTACAACATAGTTTGAATGCAGTTTATACAAAACTTAAAACATTTGTTGCTGAATAGAGGAAATGGAAAAGATTCAATTAGTCATATTTGTCCATGAAACAAAAGTCTTACCCACAGTTGACAAAACCCTATTAAACATTTTAGAGTGCTTTTTATGCCCTACCTAGGGGCATTATGTTTTTCGGTATGTGCTTCCGTTCGTTCGTCCGTTCCTCCATCAGTCTGTCTCGCATCAGGTTAAAGTTTTTGGTAAAGGTAGTTTTTGATGAAGTTGAAGTCAAATCAACTTGAAACTTAGTACACATTTTCCCAATGATATGATCTTTCTAATTTTAATGCCAAATTTGAGTTTTGTTCCCAATTTCACGGTCCACTGAACATAGAAAATGATAGTGCGAGTGGGGCATCCGTGTGCTATGGACACATTCTTGTTATTCCTGTTCTGCATCTTAAAGTCACAGTTAGGCTTTAAATACGGAGCAAGAAAGAGGACGATAACAAAGCGCCAATAAAATTTCATAAGTTAAGGTGGTACCCAACACCTTGACTAATATTAATTTGGCTCGTTTAATTTTCATAAAATTTTGACAAAATGTTTACTTTGACCCTTTGACAAAAATATAAAAATTTCAAAAAATTTGAACCAACCACTTCATCAGAAAAATTTCATTGGTTATATAGCAGTTTGACAAACACTAATTTTGATCATTGAGAAGCTTAATATTTCCTTAACAATACAACGTAATTAAAACGTTTAGCTGATTTTTACAGAGTTATCTCCCTGTAGTGTTAGGTACCACCTTAAGGAGAAACCGAAAACACGATAATGGCACAAAATAAAAAACAAATTCAAAAAGACAAACAAGTCAACAAACAACACATAAAAAGCTAAAGATTGAGCAATTTTAAACCCACCAAAAACAAAGGATGATCACAGGTGTTTAAGTAAAACAAAGTTGTTTTAGTGACATTTCAATTAGTATAAATGTGGCTTGTTAAGAAACATAAAACAAAATCATGTTATTTCCAATGTTAATGGGCAAACGCATAGTTGATGCTGCTTTCATTCAAGAGCACCTTTGTTGGTTTAAAAGGAAAATTGTTTAGATGAAAGACATAAATAAGGGGGAGAAACATCAATATTTAGGTTAAGAGCTCAAGGTAAAAGGTGCTCCAATTAGACTTAAAATATAAATATATGAGGTGCAACTTATTGTTTCGTGTGATGACTTTAGATATTCTTGATTGTTATAAATAGTACCACTAGTAGATAGTAGAAAAGGGACAGTTGATTGCTACATCACAGGTCAAAGGTTTTTGTCACAGTTACAAAAATAGTCAGCTGTATGGCATGTATTTATTTTGGTTCAGGATAATATTTATATTTGGCGCATGCCTCCTAGCCACTGCGCGTAGCATAGTGTCATGGGAACCACTGCCACGAAATATCTCTAAATCACTATATCTTGTGTTGGCCATTGTTAGCCAGGGTAAATGGAACGGAACCTCTGACAATTTTTACCTCGTTTATAATGTGTCAATTGATGATTTTTGTCTAAGTGACCTATTTGTAGAAATTGTAATGCTGGTTACTTCACCATGTTCTGTCCGCTATATAGATGGTGTATTTCAATTAATAGTTCAACGGTTGCTGACCATGTTAATCGCACATCTATCCCATTGAATTTGCAATTTATGGGTTTTAATATTATAATTATAGGCTTAAATGCTCAAATGGATAGAAATCATGATGTCGGGGGCACTGATCACTCCTTTGATGATTCAAATAACGAATTCTATCATTTTGACATATTTGTAGTTTTTGTAAGCTGATTCACGTTTGCTGTAAACAGTGTCTGTCCATAGGAGCCACTTGTGGAGCATGATCTGCTGACTCATCCGGAGCACCTGGGATCACCCCGGTTTTTTTGGTGGGGTTCGTGTTGCTGTCTTTAGTTTTCTATGTTGTGTTTTGTATACTGTTGTTTGTCTTTTGGTCTTTTTCTCTTTTTTTAGCCATGGCGTTGTTTTATTATCTACTCGAGTTTGAATGTCACTTTGGTATCTTTCGACTCTCTTTCAAGATTTTTTTTTCAAAAAGAAACAAATCTTCATTTATACACAAAAACACATGTAAAGAGAGGTTTACAATTTTTGTCAATATAGAGGGTAGGTAAGATCTTTTAAAAAAATCAGGAAATTGGATTTTACCCATATTAGTCCAGCTGATTCGTGCATATTTCTAGAAGAATTGTGGGTTTGATGATAAAGGCATGAAACTTTGCACAATTGTAGATCTTTATATGGTAGTCAATTTAAGCTATGGACCCACTCTGAAAAGTTCAAATGGCAGCCATTTTCAAGATGGCAGCCAATCAGTCAAAATTTCACCACCACGTATAAATTAAAGTAAATAGTATTCAAATCAAATTTTCTAAAAGCATATAAAATGTAATCCAAAGTTTCTAGTAAGTCATGGCGGTATTTAAGACATTAAAACGTTTTTTTAAATGGCGATAAATTACAAAATGACCGCCAAAAAGTGCAAATGAACTAAGACAAAGCTCTGCTGATATTCATTTCTTTCATCGAATTGCACTTCGCGGTTCATACGATGTTCCAGGGATTGTGTTTCCAAGATACATCGATACTGCTCGCAAGATAATTTAATCAAAGATCCCATTAATGGAAACATTCGAACGTTTTTAGGACGCCTTTAGGATTTCTTTTACTGTGTACAATCTGAGTCACAAATGATAATTTATATGTTCCACTTCTCCTTGCTACATTTCTATCCTTTTTCTCGACTGTGGATCAAGATGATTAATAAATACAACTTATTACCGATTTTCTACTTGCAATGAGTAACACCATGCACTCGTGCTAACAGTTGTCCAGAAACTACACCCCTTCTGGAACACATGCGTTGTTCCCTAGTGTTGATGAAAAGGGGCTCGTGTAGTTTAATTATGCTGTAAATGATGTGTTATTTGTTCTTTATTTTTCAATGTCTGTGTTGTCAACCAGTGAAAGTCGTGTATATTCATCGTACAAACACAGGAAACTTTATTTCATTCCAAACTTTCACATTTGGTCATATTTTAGGCAGCTGACCCTTCTTGAGCACCTGCGATCATCCCATGTGTAATGATGGGTCGTCGTTGCTTAATTTGTAGATTTTTGTGTAGAGATGTTATGACTGATGTAATTGTTAGCGTTTTTTTTATCCATGCTGTTGTCTGGTTTTGTTTTTCTAATGATTTTTGAGTGTCTTGGTGTCTTCTTCATCCTTTAAATCATCCAAACAACAACATATTTTCACAGCAGTTTCAAAATGTTTATTAAGGACAGCCCATTTAGTCTTTGCACAACTCCTCATCACATTTTAAACACCACTGTACATAACATCATTGTCCTCGCACATTTTTATCTACCGTTTTAATATCTTTCAACCACATTTTATTAGCTCGTTTCATAATGCTGATACTT